AACCTGGCCTAACTGATGTCTTATAATGCATATCTAATTGTTTTGTAAAGGGTCAATCTCTTATTCCAATTCCAAAAAAAAAAAAAAAACATTTCCGTCAAAGAAAATCAAAAAGAAGAAACTTGAGTTCAATGTTTTATGATTCTAGCGCGCAACTGCAGATCACGCGATACTATGAAAAACATATTAATTGTTGTTTTAAATTATGTCCAACCTATATGCATACTAAATAGATTTTTTCTCTTAAAAAAAAAGGAAACATTATTTTTGGGTAAACGTAGTAGTTAGTAGGACAGAACTTACATAACGTAGCAATACAAATGTAAAAATTTATTTTTTTTTTCCAAAAATCTAAAAACCATTTGCATAAATTTGTTTGGCATGTTGCGATTTATAGCCCCCTACTGAAGAGCCTCCCATGATTGGTAATATTAAGAGTGAATAGTTGTAAAAGTGGTGTATATTTATGAAAAAACTGCTTGCATTAGTGATTTTAAAAAATTATATTTTTCGCTTTTAGAAAAGAAAAGAAAGTAGCTGTTGCATCAGAACTTTGAATGGACTAAACATTATGATGTCGGATTTTCAGTATTTTTCTAGTTTACGAGATCTAAACGGGACGGACGGACAGACATTTCACACAAAACTAATAGAGTCTTTTCCCCTTTCGGGGGCGCTAAAAGTGGAACGACATGAATTCGAACTTGTGGCTCGCGACTCCTCAGGGAGATGTGTTAACCACTCTGCTAATGAGGTACTTATGACTTGAGAAGATTGCATAGTTACATATTGTTTTGTTTCAATTTAGGGCGGCGTCCTATAAAGAGGATTAATTCAGCGTATACCCCCACTTCAGTCTAGTACAATTTCTTTCCCCTGTTTGATATGCTAAACAAACAAAAATAATTACCAATAGTTAATTAAGTTAACGAGGGTGTCGTGTGACCATCTAACGTTATGTACCCATTTCAGTAAGTTAGACTCATGAGAGCGTGCTATAAAAAAAAAACCTAAGCTCAGAATCCCTCAGTCCAGAGATTCGAACTCGAAACTCGTTGGTTCTCAAGCCAAGCGCTTTACCACTCGGCCACCACACCCTACATAAAGAGACACATGAAGTAAATAAATCCTGTCACGGTAACATTCGCTTCCTAAACAGTGTGCTTACACATTAAATTACCTGAAGTTCCCATTTTAAACCTTGCGATCCATGGGGCAGATGATGTTAAGGTCATCTGTTTCTATCGCCCACTGTTAACAAGCAGGTTGTTATGTGGCCCATACAACGACTAACCGCCTTTACTTTCCCCAACTTAAGTCAGGTACTCATTAATGCTGGATGGACTCAGGGTCGCCTTAAAAATCCCGAAATTCAAAATTCTAGTCTTCACCGAGATTCGAACCCAGTATCCCAGGTTCAGAAGCAAAACCACCCAATACCTTAATTAATAGTCTATGTTTATGCCTGTGATGAGAAGTCTAGCTAAGGGTTATTCTTAAACACTTACTTAATAATAGTCCTAGCTCCAACAGCAGTAGTGTCAGGCTGTACATTTTAGCGTCAAACTTCTAGCTTCTGCTTTGTCTGTATCAATGTCAATTTCTTATTACGACTATTCACAATGAATGACACAATGCTGAATCTACAACATTTAAACTTGGATTCATCCATACATTGTGTGTGCTATATATTTAGGTCTAAGTCTACTAAGTCTGTAAGAGTTATAAGATCATACTGTCCCAGCAGTAAACAAGACCAGGAAGTTCCGTTATGACATTAAAACGTGTTCAGAGTCACTGGCGACCTTGAGGTTGTGTCATGTATTCAACATGGGAAATGGACTGTTAGTAAAGAAAATACTTGAAAATAGTGTATACTAGCCGGATATGACCTGCGGACTGCGGGCCTTGGTTTGGTATTAATAATCTACTCGGTAGAATTTAGATCTACGTCAAACTTGGAGAATGTTTCCTTCAATTGTTTTTTATTTTGCCATTAAAATAAAAGTAACTTCAAAGTCTAAAAAAAAAAAAATATTTACTGCTGCAGGGATAAACGACTGTATACGAAATACGAAAAACATGCATATATGTAACCCTGCAGGACCAGATTAAACAAACGACGTTTAGGCCATGAGGCCTTTATCAGCTACAAAACAAACAAAAAATAACAAACAATTAACACAAAATAGTCTTAAGTTTAATTTGGTCCGGCAGGGTTACATATATGCATGTTTTTCGTATTTCCTAAAATAAAAGTAGAGTGTGAAATTGTGTTTACCCATCCAGCCGACATATTCATATCCAATATAAAATACTGTGAAAACACGTTTACTCGATTTGTCAAACAGTTTCGTAATTTAATAGATACAATGAAGTACTTTGTTTCTATTTCTAGGGTCCTCCGGTTGTGGCAGGGGCATTAAACAGAAATAGGGTATCAGCCATGATCTCAGGAACTTTTGTACCAAGATTGGTCAAATTTTGATTTTTATTTTTATTCGGGACATACATACATACACACATAAATACATACATACACACATACATACAAACATACAAACACACACACATACGCCTTACTTTCTGCTTGTCACGGATGAGTGTGTATGTATGTATAATCTATTTTTACAATCTGGGCGAATGACCGGAAGTGTGTTTTGTTGTCAGACTTGTGTGATATGTTGATTAAAGTTTATGTGTTCGATCTAGTGGTTTCATTGTTTTATTTCGTTAACTAGAACTGAACCAGGGACACCTAGACGTATCGAGACCTAGGGTAGATTCTATCGAGATTGTTATAAAAGCTGTGACACTGCTTTATATATTAGATTTAACGGTGTAGTTGGCTGAGTGGTAAAGTTTTTGACTGCCTAAACAATGGGTCTTGGGTTTGAATCCTTCTATCTCTCGCACACGCCTTTTTGTTATCCTCTCAATTTATGCTAACTGGAGGCGTTGTGGCTTAATGGAAAACGGTTAGCGTCTGAGCCGGAAGGTCCTGGTTCGAATCCTGGTGAGGACTGGGATTTTTTTAATTTCAGGATCTTAAGGGCGTCTCTGTGTCTACCCAGGACTAATGGGTACCTGACATTAGTTGGGGAAAAGTAAATGTGGTTGGTCGTTGCGCTGGCCACATGACACCCTCGTTAACCGTGGGCCACAAAAACAGATGACCTTTACATCATCTGCCCTATAAACCGGATGGTCTAAAAGGAGGCATTTACTTTTTCTTTACTTATACATGTCAAATAGCGGTTTGGAATCAACTATTTTCCTGCATTCAGAGCTGCATTAATGCATTCTTCTGATGACTGGAGAGCTGTATACAGTCTAGTGGAAAAAAAATGGAGCTCAAATTAAATCGAATAAACACGATATACTCCAATATGGATTTATTACTGCAATCTTAATACAAAGTATTTTCGTTGTCTTTTGAAAAATACATTGTACTAATATGAACGGTGGGCGCACAGCTAAAGAATGTTTTAGAGACTTTAATGACATGAATATATTCCCATTCACTATTTTTTAAGCACTTTCTTTAATGATTCTGTAACAATTGAAACTGTTGTGGAGTGAATGTGTTCTCGTGCGTGTTAGTGTTCTAAACAATGTAGTCGTTAAAGCTGCAAGCTATTGTTTCATTTTGGCAAGTGTTCAAAAACACTCAATCCTGGTGTGTATTTGTACCAGTACAAAGTAAAACATAATCTTCAAGAGCACTAAGATCCAAGTTTGTACTGGTACCAGTACAAAGTAAAATATAATCTTCAAGAGCACTAAGATCCAAGGTTGTATTGGTACCAGTACAAAGTAAAACATAATCTTCAAGAACACTGTGATCCGGGTTTGTATTGGTACCAGTACCGGAAACAATTGGACTGAACAGGTTTTTTCTGTGAAAAGTATTTTCCTTTTCAGACTTCGAGGATCATTGGTCTGATGTTGTATGTTACTTAAGAAACACACCGAAGAAACGCAGGGTTGAAATTAATTAGATTTTAACTTATCTTAGCTTAGCTTATAAAATACAGACGTCACTTCAAAAAAGAATATGATTACGTCTTACGCGTCATGTATCTAGTCATGCAAGTTAACCAATGACTCAAATTCTGCCAAGTCATTGGTTTTCCTGGCTAGCTCAGGCAACCAATTCCATGCTCTAATAGCACTAGGGAAGAAGGAGTTTTTGTACAAATTAGTCCTAGCATGAGGAATGTGCCTTTATCTTTGTGTCTTTCTGAGTATTTTAACATCTTTAAACACAGCCGAAATAAAATGAATGATCCACAGATGAACAAAATATTACCCTTTTTCGTTATTGATCAGAGGGAAAAAAGTCTCGCTGAAGAGCCAAACACTACAGAAACGTATATTGGTTCCCTAACTAGTGAGGAACAATAAACATTCGTAAAACAGAAGGTTCCCCGAGTGAAACTGACAGCCTGTATGCATTGGACTGCTTCAGTCATATGGTTATAATAACAAGACTTAAGATAGAAAACTTTATGTTATTTCTGAATGTGATGAACCATATGGTTTGCTCCCATGGAGCGCTGGGCTCTTCGCAGAGTGATCAGAGCGTTAAGATATTATTTTTCCATAATTCATCAGAATGTGTTGCATGGCTTTAAAGTAGTGCGATGAATCACAAATCAGAACTTTATATGCATATTTTATATTTCATTTATATAACATGTTTAAAAATGATAGTTGATATAAAATCTGTTGGTTTCTTTTGTTTTATAATTATTTCAAAATTTTGGTTCAAAGCTCTTAGCTTGGTTTATTTGTGGTGTATCGTTGGGTTTTTTTTAGGCCCAGAAACACAGTTCAACCTAAATGTGTAATTGTATTAAATAACTCATAAACAAAAATTTGAACAAAATGTTGATTGCAAATATTTACAGACTTTAAATCTCAGTGTGTGAATTAACAAAATCGCAAAATGTTCAAAGATTTTCTAAAGTTTCTTTCAACACACTTCAAGTCACTGTTTGAATCATTTACCAGTGTCACCCTTTTACATCGGGTGTTCTTTTCTTTTATACCAAGTACATGTAATATCATCTTGTCTATACAATACGTATACAACATAAGTTAACACACACACACACACACAACAACATCAAAGCGTTGATTTTAGCTTTCCCCAGAAGATCAGGATATGAATGGAATTATTTTTTGATTCCGAATAATTTATTACGTATTTAAATAGTAAACAGCTGGTTCGTGCTCTGTTTGTGAAGATCTAGATTTAAATTTCTAAAACTAAACTAAATTGAAAGCAGATCCAGAAGAAGTCGAGATATATTTCCTAGATCTGTTCTTCACTTTGTGTAAGGTTCAGCTTACACGGCATGTGATGGGGCTAATAAAGTTCGACAGCAGAACATAACTTTAGGACATGATTGTTTTCACCTGGCACCCAACTATAGGGTCACTGAGTCCACCTAGCTATAGAGTCACTGAGTTCGCACAGCTATAGGGTCACTGAGTCTACCCAGCTATAGGGTCACTGAGTCAACCTAGCTATAGGGTCACAGAGTCAACCTAGCTATAGGGTCACTGAGTCTACCCAGCTATAGAGTCACTGAGTCTACCCAGCTATAGGGTCACTGAGTCAACCTAGCTATAGGGTCACTGAGTCAACCTAGCTATAGGGTCACTGAGTCAACCTAGCCATTGGGTCACCGAGTCCACCCAGCTAAATGGTCACTTAGTCCACCCAGCTAAAGGGTCACTTAGTCCACCCAGCTTAATGGTCACTTAGTCCACCCAGCTAAAGGGTCACTTAGTTCACCCAGCTAAATGGTCACTTAGTCCACCCAGCTAAATGATCACTTAGTCCACCCAGCTAAATGGTCACTTAGTCCACCCAGCTAAATGGTCACTTAGTCCACCCAGCTAAATGGTCACTTAGTCCACCCAGCTAAAGGGTCACTTAGTTCACCCAGCTAAATGGTCACTTAGTCCACCCAGCTAAATGGTCACTTAGTCCACCCAGCTAAAGGGTCACTTAGTCAACCTAGCTATAGGGTCACCGAGTCCACCCAGCTATAAGAATACTGAATCCAACTAGTCAACCCAGTAATAGGATCAATAAGAATGGTCACTGTCCACCCATCTTTGGGGTCAATGAAAAAAGTAAATATGATGCTTGTGTTAGCCCACACTACACCCTCGTAAACCGTGGGCGGTAAAAAAAAATGCGTGACCTTAACCCTTCTTTTAGTCATTGTGCTGGTCACGTCGCACACTTGTTAACCCTTAAAGTGCTGAGCTGTTTTACAATGAGTGTATAAAAAATGGAAGTACAATTCTGAAGTTTAGAGGCTACTATACCACTCTTGATGACATGATGATTTTAACATCTTCTCCTTTAACTAATGGTAAAAGCATCTTGTTTCTTTTTATTGTTCTCTAATCCAGTGAGGAAAGTACCTGGCAGCAGATGACCTCTGAGAGAGACAGTTGGAGAGGATTTGAAAGAAAGTCAAGACAATAAGTGTGACAATCTTGTGTGTGTAATCACTGCAAATTATTTGACACAATGATAATAATGCCTTTGTCTTCGATTCCAAAGAATAAGGCTGAGTGCAGTGTTTCACAAAACTACGCAAACTCAATAGCGACCTGCATATTTTCCCAAATTTTGTGTAGACAAAGCCGTTGTCTGCTAGCGATCTACTGAAGTTTTCTTTCCGTCTTTTGCGCCAGTCATCAATAATGGCTTTTATATGAGTCTCAATTGTTTGTCCCGCAGCTTTTGTGAGAACTCTCCAACTGTCTCTCTCAGAGGTCATCTGCTGCCAGGTACTTTCCTCTATGCCAGTGAGAGCGAAATGGCGCCTGAGTGGAACTTTATAGTGCTTACAGAGGCACCTCTATGACGCCATCCACCTCTAAGCTCGCCAAAGAAGATCACCTTTGGCATGCGGTCGTCTCCCATGCGGGATAAGTGTTATTGATTGACAGCATAAAAATTAATAAAAAAATGTTTTTTGTCAAATTTGTCTTTTCTCACTTCTTTATAAATGTTTTTCTTACAGAAGAGCCGCAGGCGGATCTTTTGAAAGGAAAAATACGAAAAAGGGGCGGTAGGCCGAAAAAGGTTGAATACCAGTGCTCTAATCGATAACATTTTTCCATTTAAGTATTCTGGATAATATATTAAAATGTATCTCAATATGCAGACTTCTAGCAGGACTTGTCTGTTATTGATGCTAAGAGACACCTTGGAAAGGAGCTACTGAATCTTCATAAGATGGAGGTAGCGAACCATACGCTGGGGGCGGGGGTGCTGCTGCAGTGTCCAGTCCTACCCGGGCAATGGTGAAAATGTGGACACATTCTTCATAGACAGGTGGCTCGGGCACTATGTTGTTGTCCAGCTGCGGTGTTGCCAAGCTATGGTGTTGTCCAGCTGTGGTGTTGTCCAGCTGCGTTGCTGTCAAGCTGCGGTATTGCCCAGCTGAGATGCTGTCCACCTGCTCTACAGAGTCATGAAACATCATTAATATTTCCATTATGTTTCTTTCCGCCCGACGCCGTCGGCGACGCTTAATGCATATTATCACAACAGTAACTAATAAGGTGTAACCAAACACAGACACAATGACATATATTCCAGTTGCCGTTGTGGAGGTAGAATCTTTTGGGTCATCTGAGGTCCACTTCAATGTGGTCACAGTGTTCTCATCTAGAATTAAGAAAAATATAAATTGAAAATATAAAACAAGCACACAAAATACAATTTAAAAATAAACCTTATTTAAGGGGAATAACTCCACATTTAGTGCCGTATATTTTAGTCTGTAAAATTATTTCCGTTTTTGATATCAGAGGAAATGAATTCATTACCGTTATTTACTTAATTATTTGATTTATTTTTTTTTATTCATTCTGACATTGATTTTGGTAGGAACAATGAACAATTGTGCAAGGCTCAACTCCATCCGAGAATAGGAAGTGGGAGAAATATTGTGTACCAGACAGACTGACAGACAGACAGACAGATAGAAGAGCTTATTTAAGCTTTGCAATCAAACGTTTGTTTTTTTTGTGTCTTGTTTTCATTTTAGCGATTCTGAAAATTGATCTCTGGTTTAATACAGTCGATCGGTTTATCGGACCACATCGGAACGTGACAGTTTTCAATCCTAATAACCGGTTGGTCTGATTAAACGAACTATAATTTAAGTGGCATATTAATTGTTCAAACATTATTGTGCGATTTAAAAAACAAAATAAAGCGAAAGAACATATAGCTTTCTTTTGCTAACGAATTTGCAAGCAAGCTGGGTTTTTGTATCGTAACGATCTAGAACAGCGGTTCTTAACCTTTTATGCTCGGCGACCCCTTTTTACAATCCCCCACTCTGCCGCGACCCCCCCCCCCCTCCGAAACACACATACATCAATAGAAGAATAGACAAAAACAATCCATATTTTCGGTAGTCTTAGGCGACCCCTGGCAAATCGTAAATCGACCCCAACCCACAGGTTGAGAACCCCTGATCTAGAAGACATGTTTAGCTACTCAGCACGCGAAGCATAATTGCCAAAAAAAATAAGTTCTTACTAAATTCCGATCGACGTTCTTTAACTTATCCAGATCTGACGGACTCTTTTTTCGTACTGCACTTGAAAACAACTACAACTACAACTAATACTTTTTAAAAAACACAAACTTGTCTAAGGGAAAGCAACGAACAATCACAACCATATCTCTCTATACTGCAGTGTTTACATCTTTTTGTATAAAAATAATTCATGTAATTGGAATAATTAATTCGTGAATTTTTCTATTGATTCGTGTATTGTCTTCGATTGTGCATAAGTGCGCGAAATTTTAACTTGATCAAAGAAGCTGAAGTGGGAGAAAGACTGTGTTACCCAGACAGACAGACTTTGTGAGCACTGTGACTCTCGTCTCACCGTGGAACATATCCTCATTGATTGCCCCAGATACCGGGATATTAGGGGAACATTTTTTTTAGAGCGCACAACTTAAAAACACTGTTCGATATTGTCAACCCTGGGAAGGTACTGGGCTTTGTCCGGGAGGTAGGGTTGTCTGCGAAGATTTGATTCATGAAATTGTGATCATATAATATTTACAAAAGATTTTTTTTAATTATTAAATTGTTTATAACCTTTATTATTTTAACTGCGAATAGACCTTGTTTTTAATTACTTAAATAAAAAAAAATTTAGCTCTTGTGGTATGAAGGGAGAGTAACTCTTTAGTGTGCCGATGTGCCAAAAACTCAAACTCAGACAGAGTGATACGAATTCTAAAAATCATTCCCGGACATCTGACGCAGCAATAGGAGTGCCCTTTTACTCTCCTACCTAAAGTAGCAGTCATAGACTCTTCGCTAGCAGAGTGGTTACCGCGTTGGTTTAAGAAGCCTGAGAAAGTTTTTAGCACACAAGTTAACATTCAGTTCGTTCCCTTTTATGTATATATAAAGCGATCACCCAGTTACCCCGTTCTTTCTCCCCCTACCCATTTCCAACTGGTCCAGGCAAGCGTATTCAGAAAGCTAAAAGCATGATATTGGTTAAACAAATATTTCTAATCACACAGATTTATTATTGTTAGTCTAGATCTATTACAAATGTATTACATGACTGATCCAAACCAATTAATACATATAATATACGCTTTGCTATTTTTAAAGTATTGTTTGTTGGATACCAACAAGGGAAACTAATCCTTCAATATTCGCATTTGTGGCTAAATTTGTTGGGTTTAGTCCCCTAAAATAACTGTTAACGCTATTTCTCCCTCAAGCATTCTGCAAACAAGTTGATACTGTAAACAATTTTTTATTGTATCTAACAAGGCGTGAATCAATTTTTAAAAAAAATACACAATTAATCGATTAGTTGGTTTTTAATTATTTTGTTAGATATTGAATATATATAGAACATCGTCAACGACCAGCCAACAATTTTTTTTTTAAATTAGATGCCCTGCTCGTGACCGTTTGGCCAAAGAAACAAAGGACCTTAACGTCGTCTGCCCTATAAATCACAAGCTCTGAAAGGGAAACTTTACTAACTAACTTTACTACATTGAAATTAATTACATGATCGATTTAAAATAATTGATGCAATTTCACATACTATAAATAAGGCTTTTAATAAAGGATTTTGTTTTATATTTATCTTGTTAAATGCTTCGCGTATCGAGACTTCCGAATCAAGTACACCGGTTACACCAAAAAAAGCTTGCTATATACGGGTTAGCCTCCATGTATGAAACTCTTCAATACTTACTCTCTTCTACTTCAATAAGTATTTTGGTTGCGTCATTGTCTATGGTACACTCAACAGTAAAATATGGCGGATAGCCTGAAACATTGTACATTGTATATGTAATTATAGCCGAATCTGAACTTGAAGCTAGAACACTGTATGGACTGTCCCTGACTAAAGAGAGTTCACTCCCGTATCCGGTCCATTTCTCACAAACAAAAGTTACGTCCCTTTTGTACTGTACGTCATAATACTGTCTCATCCAGTTAGCTTTTAATGACATTTGTTCTTGGACGCTATCTGTTTGAAGAAGAAAAAATTGTTTCAATTCAAA